TGTGTGTGTGTGTGTATCAGTGTGAGTGTTGCATAAATGTCTTTAGTTCTCTGAGATCAAAATACTTTGAAGAGTCCTGTTTGTTCAGATAGAAACCTTTGAAAATCTAAGAGTCCCAGTAAAAAACAGTGTAAAAAGTGCTTGTGTGAATGTGTGTCTACAAGTTCAGTCATAATTAATACAATGTATTTTTCTTAAGATACCATTTAAAGTTATTTTCTTTCTTCAAGGCAGCCATTGGTTTCATAACAGCATGAAAATGCCTTCAAACTGTTTTGAGATTGATCATCAAATTTTATCCACCCTACTCTCTGTCTGTCACTGGCAACCCCTAATCCTGTCACCATGGCTAGAGGCTCAGCTGGCACATGTATCCCCAAAAAGAAAAAAAGTTAAACAGATGTGGAAATAGTATAGATTCCAAAATAAAGAACAGGGTACCTATCTGTGATGCAATAAACATATTTAACAACAATCTAAAAAAATGTAAGGTACAGTGATTCCATGTTTTAGTGCCATTTTAAAAGTCTGAAGTATATATTCATGATTGTTGTGATCATTTTTTGTATCACACTTATTTTGGTCAAGATAATTGTGACATGAAATTTTCTTAATGTCCCATGCCTACTCCACACTGTATTTCAGAAATTGCAGAGGACTTAGTTTTAAAGCTAGAGTGAAAATGCTATGTATCATATGAAATATTAAATGAATTAATTTCACGTAAATCGGCTCAAAATCGCCATGCAGCGCTTACTTTCTGTTGCCAGTACGTGACGCTATCAATATGTCTGAATATTGTCATGTAGACGTGTTCAAGGCGGGACTAATATCAAACACGTGAAGTTTCATTGAAATTGGACCACGTACGCTGAAATTATGAGGACGTGTTCAGGGTGAGACTGTTACAGAATATATGAAGTTTATTGGAGATTGGACATTGCACACTGAAGTTATGAGTACTGTTTTATGACCACACAATTCAAACTGGCCAACTTTGACGGCACGCCACGGACACGCCCTTCAACGTACATGCACAAATAGCACAACTTTTAATCAGCAACATACTTTGACTGTACAGACCAATTTTGAAGCAGATCCGATGAATTCCCTAGGAGGAGTTCGTTCAAATACAATGCGAAAAGTTCGCAGAAAGTGAAAATGAAACAATGCAAAAAATAGGCGGACTTCCCGTGGGGTTTGGGGATATGGAATCCAAGAGGCTTTTTTGTACAAGGAATAGAGAGAGATATAAGATAGATAACGAATATCCGATAATAAATAGAGGTGAAACAGTGAGCGGCGGGGCATGCTTTTAAATCACTGTAGAGGAGGGCGGCTACAAACCGATAAAACGATAATATATATAGCATATAGATAGAAACTATAAGGCAACAGTCTACACTGTGCCCTGCGAATTTCAATATAATCAAGCTATATAAAAAAGATAATATCACAGCGTGATTTAACCATCCCAAGACCAAACAAAAGAAAGCAGCAATCATAGTAGGGAGGGATCGATATGACACATATTATGTAGGGAAGGGCCTGCAGGGAGCGATGGTGGCAAGCATCCTACCCAAGTTTCATTTTATCGCACATGCCGATTGCAGAGATTAACTTGTTCATTTTAACAGAGGGCGCGCACCTTGTGGCAATGGCCATGAAATTGTGCACCGAATCCTAAGGCAGACAATGAGGAGAGCCTATGGACCGAAACTTGGTGGTCAATCGGACATACCAATAAATGGAGAAACATAGCTCACTTCCTGTTTTTGACCAAATCTAACAGGGATTTATAACAGGCCTTATTATTTTGCAAAATAATCAAAAATTACTTCAAGATGCCTTTTTTGCCAAGGATGGTCCGCGCCAGAAAAATGCTATGTGAAAAATTTCGTGGAAATCGGTACGAAGTGTATACCGGGGTAACACGAAAGTGGTTTTTGGACATTTTCGCGCTCTAGGCGCGACCAAAAAATTCTAGGCGGGAAGCTGGCGTGGCGCTATATAAGGGAGTTATCAAGCGTCCAATTCACCGAACGCGTGAATATAAGGTTTTTGAAATGTGCGACCAAACTAATAGCAGAAGTTATTATGCACTAAACGGCATTTTAATGAATACGATAAAGCAGCAACGCATAAGCTGGCCAACACGCAAGAAAGCGAACACAAAAATAAGACTAGGTAAAGAAATAATCTATATACAGCCACGAACTGACATGAAATGTAAAAGAGCACAGAGTATATCCATAAGAAGTATTTTGAGTATCAGAAGGCAAGGCATCATATAGAAGTTTGTTTACCGGAGGAAAAGAAAAGAAAAGATATCCTTCAAGTTACAATAGGTCAGCCTTCGCAGGCGTTCAGTGCTCCGGCAGCTATATTCAAATGTTCTGTGCAACATGATACAGGGGCCCTTACGTGACAACAACATGCTTTTTAAACTCATACGTTGTGAAAGAAACCGTACAAACAGTACTTTTCGCCTTACCTGTTTTTCCCACGCGCTCGGCTTCACCGATAAGCCCAGAGATTAATCGATCACGGAGATAATGCCTTCGCCAACGAAAAAAAGTTTATTTCCCTCGAAAATTGTCCATGTCTCAACCACCTGAGCTCTCCCGGTATTTCCACACTTCGCTGCAAACAAATTCTTCTTCGTGGCGTTTTCCTCCAACAAGTGAAAATCCAACGGGACTTCAGCGGCTACATTGTTGTAGACGCAAGTGTGTAATCTGATTTTATCAGATTGACTTCAAATTTGATCACTGTAATCTAAGACACAGATTGGTGATCTAAAAATTGTGATTTGTCATGTACGTTATGTGACTGTACATTTAACCGCGTGCCCGTGACGACGTGTCGAATTCCGCCGATTGGCCATAAAACAGATAGTACTCATATCTTCAGTGTACAGTCCCACCCTGAACACGTCCTCACAACTTCAGTGTACATGGTCAAATCTCAATAAAACTTCACACGTTTGATAACAGTCCCGCCCTGAACACGTCTAAATGACAATATTCAGACATAGTGATAGAGCCACCTACTGGCAACAGGAAGTAAGATCTGATTTGATCTGATTTACGTGAAATGTTCATGTTTTGGTCCGCACGTGTTACGCCTGCACGTGACGCAGCCGCAGCACGCCCCGAGTTGCGTGGAGTGCGACGTCCCGCCCAACGTTGCTTGCAGCTTTAATTAAAGATGTACTGTGTTAGTTTTAGGAGAGCATTCTTACCGTAGTTATCCTTTGCATCCCAGTCTTTATTCCAGTGACTACCCCAGTCTCCCCCAACTCCACTCAGGATGGGCTCCTCTGGGTTGTAGTTGTAGTCCTCAGACTGTTCCTCCAAACTGTCTCTTCCCAGCCCATTCTCCACCTGCTCCGGGTACTCCCAGAACAGTGGCCAAAACAGTTTTTTGTGGCTGTTGGCCCACTCTGATGATGACACTGACCAGTCATTACGCTGACTGTCCTTGGCCAGGTCTATCTCTACCTCCATCTCAGTCTGTGCGTCATCTACCACCTCGATGCTCACCTGAAGGAAACACTGTAGTGTTTATATGCGTTCAGAATGTGGTCACTGACAATGATATAAAGGATAATTCAATAAAGTGCAAATTATCTCACTTTGATTCAACTTAACTTTACTTAAGTATTAATAAGTCATAGGTCTACGTATTATACATCTATATACAACTTAAATCAATGGCCCAAAGTTGACTGCAGTGACCTCAACAACAAGCCAGCAATCAACCGCAAACACAACTGCTTCTGTAATTTTAAGTAGATAATTGGAATAAATGACCTTACAAAAGGCAGTCACACATAACTGTTAAAATAACAATGTCAACACAGTAGCCTTTTTCACACAACTGCCTCAGTAGAGCAGTCACAGCCAATTCCAACAGCACATAATGAAAGATGCAGCATAACCAAAAAGCCGTGGGAATTTAGTGATTCCGTCAAGCCTCATTTGTCTAAGAAATCAAATATATTTTATTTCATAGATTGTGAACAGCATTGAATATACAAAAGCAAACTGGCAATAGAAATGTTGTTCAAAACTATCTTCCTCCCTTAAAACATTTTTGGCCTTGAGCATTTAAATAAAGTATAGGTTAAAGCCTTTTTACAAGTTGATGGCTGCATTAGAGAACAGCAACAATGGTTATGTGTGGGGTGGTACTGAAAGCTCTCAATTTAACATACTGTGATATCTGTTTAGCAGGCATCCAGGACTAATATGGGGGCCTCCTCTGTAACTTTACAAATTGTACATGGGAAGTATGAAAAACAAAATCAGTCAGAAGATAGATAAATTGAATTTAAAAAACTCATACAATCTCTCAGACATGATGTGGGTAGTGATGTCACTGCTGTTTATTTGAAGATCAGATTAAAGTGTACTCTCTATGAAAGAGGGTTATTGTGCAGTGGGAGAAGGGACTGAAAAAATAGAAGAAAAATAAAGTAGGATGGAAAGATGAACTGATAGCTAATTCTGACTATCTTGCTGTTTCTCATACACATGCATACACACATAAACACACACAGGTCTAGACAAAACCCAGGTCATGCTTGCATGCATGCATGCTCATGTGACATGAGACATATCTCAGCTGATAAGAGATTCTGTCATGACGCTGAATATCAAAAAGAAGAGAGGATAAACTACTTACTCTGAAACTAATTCTGTTCAAGTGATTAAACATATGTTTCCCTCTATATTCTGTACATTCTTCATATGCATCATATTAACACACTTAAAGGTAATCCTTACTGAAAACATGCATAATGTATAGTGTAAATGAGTAGCTGATGGATGCATATACAGGCAAGTCTGTTAATATGTACTATATACTGTTCAGAATTAGCAATACATTTATTTCCTTGTTTCCTGTAGACCACACACATATAATTATAATACATTAAATTTATAGAGCGCTTTTCAAGAAACTCAGACACTTCACATGAGTTAAAAAGGAAAAGAAAAAGGTAAAAGAACAACACACTAAGAAAGTATAGCTATATCTACGACACTCAACAAGATTTAATTGTTAAAAAATCATTAAAAGCAGTTCTGAAAAGGTTGACATGCATATATATTCATTTAAGTTTATGCACTGAAGCTGGCAGAGAACATTTCATGAACAGATTGGATATATTAACTTAACTGCAATTCATGCTATAACCTGTACACTGTGAATCTGACTGTCTGGAGTAAAGTTTAAATCTGAATCTTACCCCTTGGTGTATTTACTGACAATCTGGTGTGAGTGCGACCATGTCTACCAGCCATATAGCCTTTCACCTTCCTTTACAAATACAATTTTTGTTTCACTTTCAATTTTAGTAAGCCTGGATTTAACTGTAGTAACAAGTACAAAAGCTAATTTAGAGGCCGCATGCCTTATGTTTTATTGAAAAAAGATACCCTACCCATAATGTCTTATATTCATGCAAAAATGCACTTGCAATTGTCGTTTTTGTAGTGTGGCTCTGTGTTTTTTGTTATAAATAAAAAAGCTGTCAGAAGACTGACAGGAAATGAGGGAGAGAGAAAAGGGCCACAAGTCGGGCTTAATTATAATAAACAATTTAAATTTTTATATTTTGCAGTGCCAGAAGTTATTGTATTTAAATGTATATTGTTTACAATTGTCTCTCTTAATTGTCCATCTGAATTGATTGATTGGCATTTGGCTTGATTGTTTCTCTTCAAATACTGAAAACAGAAACATCATTTCTGTTTAGCTCCAATCCACAAGTCATAATGCTTGTTTCTAAAGCCAACTCCACAAGGATTCTGCTTCACACTTGAACTGAAAAATTACATTTTGACCTTTTATATTCCACTCTCATATGTTTTATATTTTTTGTTTTTCCTTTGTTCTTACATTTCTCCAAACTATTAAGGGTCATGTACAAGTTGGAACGCCCCACTGTTAAAGGTCCTGCATATGGTAACTTAAGACAATGTCCTGACTCAAACCAGGTGTAGAGCAACAGGATGTAGAGCGAGAGAGTATTAGGAAAGAGAGATGGATGAGGAATCTGTAACACCCACACCTCTTGTGATCACTGGTTTAATGTGGAACACCTATACTTCAGTGAAATGAACCATTCATGATATGAGACAAGTGACAACAACCTACTTGCAATGATAATGAATAAAAAAATAACATCTCTCCATGCATATTACCTACCTGGATGTTGGGGTTCTGTGAGCCCATGTCTGCATTGGCCAGCTCTGGGAAGTTCCTGAGGTCCAGAATGAAAAGCTCATGGTCCTCCTCACGTTTAGGTAGGGACAAGACACTCTGGTGACTGTGCGGGGACCAACGGCGTCGCGACCTGGGGGAAGACGGACCGGAGGGTAGGGTCTGCAGCAGATTCTCCTGCTGGAGCTCCTGGAGAGTCTGATGTTCTTTGCCATGACTACGGACTGCTATCACCTAAGAGGGGAAAAAGAAAGTGTGTTAACGTTTTTGGCCACTAGTGATGCTGTAGAACAATGTCTTAGAATTAATTAATTAATAATAATAATAATAATAATTAATTTAAACTAACAATTGATAAATTAATAAATAATTAAAAGTATGAATATGTTTGGGTTGAGTTTCCTTGATTAACAGGAGTCTTAGCCTATCACAAGTCACAAGCTATTTGGTTTGCTGCTTGTAAGTTAATAAATATTAACTCAGAAGAACGGCACTTAGGTTACACCCTCTTTTGTATCTTTAATTTCATTGTAGTGAGAGTTTATAAATCAAGTCCACATCCATCAGAGTTTGTGCTGTGAACAAACAAAACTCACACCACACCCAACCATATCAATACATATCAAACGTATAGGGCTCAATGTTTCATTTTATTTTTTGTTTTATTTAATATAATTAAATATCTGATTGAGGTCAAAAATCTCTTTTTCCATGAAGTCCTGGCCAAGACAGGCAGCAGCACAACATATGAACAAAGTATACAAAGCAAAAAAAGACAGTATTACAACATACAAAATCACAGAAAATAAAGTGCAATACAAGCCAAGTTTAACAATTAACATCCGAACAACTCCATCTCTTGGCCTTTCAAAGTGGATTTAAAAGCATTCGAAGAAATTATCTGAGAGTTCCCAAACATCCTTTTCCCAATCTCTGTACAAACAATTGGTACAGACAACATATAAAAGTCCCTTGAGCACATGGAATGCTGTCCATCACACAAATACATACAGTAGATAGCACTGAAGCAACCCAACAATTGCCTTGTATATGTATATATGACTTGTGTTACTAGAACAGACCATCCTACCCGAGAGTAAAGATCATAGTGGTGAGTGAAGGCCAGGGTTTGGAGGATTACTTTAAAAATGTAATCTGATACAATTACTAATTAACTGGTAAAAGATTTAGTCAGTAAGATAAACTATCGCAATATTAAAGTAACGTAACTTGATTACTTTCCATTACTTTTGGCTTACCTCAACAACAAATATGCAAGACAAGAGAAAAGAAATATCAGAAGCAAGTATTGATGTAAGCATATTCTATAAGATAACATACTAAGACAACAGAACAATGAAAACTTAGAAAAGAAAATGGAAACCAAGACTTTTAGCATAAAAAATGTGTCATCTGTTCAGTTTCTTTTTAAAGAAAATTGTAAACCTACCAATTATCCCTATTTTAACTAAATGTAACTGTAATCTGATTCCATCTTTTTTCTTCTGTAACTTTAATGGATTAAATTGACCTTTTCTGTATCCTGATTTCGTAACTCAGTTACATGTAACACATTATTCCCCACGACTGGTCAGTGTTTTACAGTTTGTGAGGAATTCAAGGGAAGCATGGTAAGCTAGTAATCTAGGTGTCTTGAACTGGACAGCAAAGTTAATGTCAGCTAAAGTTAGCCGTGAGTAAGCGTGAGTAGCTAACTATGATAAAGCCAAAGCGTTTTGGGCAACACTCTCTTCATCAGAGTGTATTCTAGCAATTTCAATTACCGTATGTAATTGCAGTCACCTATAATTAACCCCACCTGTGTACAGTATATTGATAGTGAATGCATGCTGTAGAAGGGGTCTTGCCTGTGGCAAATTATATTCCATCCACCTATTACATTTGAAGTGCTGTCCTAGTCTTTATTTTTTATTATTATCATCTTAATTTATTTTAATGAAACTATAATGTGATTTTGGCAAGCCCAACTAACGTTATGTCTTTTATGAATTGTTGACTTAATGACTGACAATTAAGTATAGCCAGTACATGAATTAAACTTCAAATGATGATAAAAGCACGTTGATGTGATGTGTCTCTTTCATTTACTATTATCAGTTAATACCTTAATTAAGCAGTGTTAATTAATGAATGGCTGGTGGTGATTTTGGGTGGGTGGGCTAACAAATGCATTACACTCATCAATACATCACAGCAGCAACAGCAGCATCACATCA